GTCAAGGGACCATGACAGGGTCACTGTGGACTCACCAGTGGGAGTAGTTGCTGTGGCCTGGTGGGTGTAACCTGCAGCAGGAGAGGGGGAGAGAGGCGCGGGGGAGAATGAATATGAAGGTGTGAGTGGTAAGGACGAAGCCCGCCCAGACATGGAGGACATGGGCTCTACCCTAGAGCACAGCAGGGGTGGCCCCTGCTCACCATTCACATAGAGACTGTTCTGGTCCAAGGCGTAGGGGCCCAGCTGGGTGATGCCGTTGGTCAGTGTTCTCAGCTCCCAGAACAGCTTCTCTCTGTCCAGCTTGGGGTCCACGGGGTCAGGATGGTAGGTGCATACAGCGTCCACCCTGGTGGCTGACCCATCCTTCTCAGACCTGCGGAGTGCACGGGGGATGAGTGCATTTTCAGAGAAAGGTCCAGAGACACCTCTGATTAGGGCAGAAAGGTGACAGAGAAAAAGAGGAGGCCCTGGAAGGGCAGGAAGCCAGCCTGGTCATCTGTGCACTGACTTCTGGACGGCCTCCTCCTGGGAGAGGAGTTGCTTGAAAGGAAGATGTTCCTGAAGGTGGAGAATAAAAATGCAACCTCATGGCTTGGGATAGGTGGTTTCCAGGTGGGACAGGTGGAGAACTGGGGTTGTGATGTAAGGCAAATGTAGAAAGTGTGTTTGTCACAAGATACATCCTGGTAAGAGAATCCATTGTCTAAAGGAAATGCCCTTGTTGTAAAAGGGAGAAGGGAGGGAGGGGACGAGGGTCAGTGATGGTGATGTTCAGAATTTGAGACAGGTCAGGAGGGGAAGTGGAAGGGTTAAGGGAGACCTTGGTGCTGGAGCTGATGCCTCCTGAGACCTTCTCTGAGGAGGACAGGAAGGATAGGGGGGCAGGAGGAAGCACCCACACTGCTGGGGCCTGGGAGCTCCAGTGACTCTAAGTCTCACCTGAGCAAAGTCAGTCTGCAGCCAGAGTACAGGGGACCCACACTGGTGTTCTTGAACAAGGGTCCAAGCTGTGGAGGAGAGAGAGGGGGAGTGGGTCAGCTGAGAGGTGGGCAATGGCATCATTGGTGGGTGTGGGGATCCTGGAGGATACAGGTGCATCAGAGGGTGGGACACAGGCAGGCTGGCTCCAGTGGGCAGGACAAGAATGGGACAGGCACTGTGCTCACCAGGTGCTGCAGGACCTTCTGAGTGGTGTTGAAGGTCAAGGACCCTGGGGGCTGCATGTCGTCCTCGTAGCGCAGGTTGGTGATGGTGAAGTTGAGGGTGAAGGACTCCAGGGGAGGTCCTGAGGCTGCATCAGGGGAGGGAGAGGAGAGGACCTTTGAGTCAGGTCTGGGTGGATTTTCCGGGCAGGCATGATCTGTGGTCACAGCCTGAGTTCAGGGAGGATGTCACTGGAGAGTACAGCAATGGATTAGTGTCCTTGGGGCCCACGCCCTTCGCCACTATTGTGGATCTCATTCAGTCATCGAATCCTACCGGTAGGTAGGGGAAGATGTGGAACCTCTAAAGCTTTAAGGAGACAGTTGAACATCTAATACTTTATTTCTGGTAATTCTATTGAATTGTTCATTTATTACTTTCATCTCTCCACCCAATTTTCATTCAGTGGCATTTTCTCTATTTCCCAGGAAATATGGCCAGAAGTGTCCAACGACACGGTGGTGATCGTATGATTGCAAGGACTTCCCAGCCTGTGACCCCAACTTCTTCCTTCCTGGACCGCTGGCGATGTGGTCAGGGCCTGTTGCTTCCTTCCCTGGCTGTGGGACTTCTGAGGACCACTGACTACTCACCACTGGTTGTGGTCATCACAGTCCGGTGGGTGTAACCTGCAGAGAGCCAGAGAGCGTGAGTGTGAGGAGGTGCTGGGAGGGGAGGAGGACTCAGGAGGCTTGGAAGGGGACGCTGTGGGCTCCACCATGCAGCAGAGCAAGATGGCCCTGCTCACCGTTGACGTAGAGACTGTTCTGGTCCAGGGTGTAGTTGCCCAGCTGAGTGACCCCTTGCGTGAGCAGGCTCAGCTCCCAGTACAGCTGCTCTCTATCTAGTTTGGGTTCCAGGGGGTTAGGATGGTAGGTGCAGACGGTGTGCACTCCTGTGGCTGAGCCGTTCTTTTCAGACCTGGGGGAGAATGGCGAGAAAGAAGAATGAGAACCTTTTTTCAGTAAAGGGGCCAGGAATACCGCCACCAAGAAGGGAAAATGACAGAGGCAATTTGAAGGCCCGCAGAAGGGTGAGAGGTCAGATACAGGTTCTCCGAGGGCAATGGCTTCTGAACAGCTGGCCACCGAGACAGAGTTGGCAGGTGTGAAAATGGATCCTGAATTTTAAAGATGAAACATACCACCTCATGGCTTGGGGACAGGCAGGTCCCAAGGCGGGACAGGTGGAGAATTGGAGTTGGGGATTACAGCAAACGCAGAAAGTGTATTTGTCACAAGATACATCCTGGCAACAGAATCCATCATCTAAAGGAAATGCCCTTGTAGTAAAAGGGAGAAGGGAGGGCGGGGACAGAATTTGAGACAGGTCAGGTGGGGGAAGGGGAAGGGGAAGGGTTAAGGGAGGCCTTGGTGCTGGAGCTGATGCCTCCTGACCATCTCTGCGGAGGAAGGAAGGATGAGGGGCAGGAAGGAAGCACCCACACTGCTGGGGCCTGGGAGCACCAGTGACTCTAAGTCTCACCTGAGCAAAGTCAGTCTGCAGCCAGAGTACAGGGGACCCACACTGGTGTTCTTGAACAAGGGTCCGAGCTGTGGAGGAGAGAGAGGGGGGAGTGGGTCAGCTGAGAGGTGGGCAATGGCACCATTGGTGGGTGTGGGGATCCTGGAGGATACAGGTGCATCAGAGGGTGGGACACAGGCAGGCTGGCTCCAGTGGGCAGGACAGGAGTGGGACAGGCACTGTGCTCACCAGCTGCTGCAGAGTCTTCTCTGTGCTGTTGAAAATCCAAGACCCTGGGGGCTGCATTTCCTCCTCGTAGCGCAGGTTGGTGATGGTGAAGTTGAGGGTAAAGGACTGCAGGCGAAGTCCTGAGGTGGCATCCGTGGAGGGAGAGGAGAGGTCCCCTTGAGTCAGGTCTGGGTGGACATAGTGGATAGACAGGGTCTGTGGCCATGGTCCTTAAATCAGGGACCCTCCCACTTTAGAATACAGCCAGCCCTGGGAGTTCTTGGTCCCAACCCCTAAATCAGTTGTGGTCCTTCCTGGATTATCACACACTGCAGGCCATGAAGGACCAATCTGGAGGCCAGAAAGCTCTGATGAAAGAATTTTTGAAATACTTATATTTGTCCATCAAATTCTGCACCTACTTTTTTCCGTTCGTCCACCCAAAGTACATTTAATGACCTTGGTGTGTGTCCAGGCAACAACCCAAGGTGATCAGAGCTGAGCCCTATCCCACTGGCTTTCCAGCCTGTGTCTTTGTTCCTGTCCTCCCTGACAGCTGGAAACGTACGTAGGCAGGGGTCTGCTGCTTGCCCCCCGGAAGTCAAGGGATTTCTCTTAGGGTCACTGTGGACTCACCACTGGGAGTCGTTGCTGTGGCCTGGTGGGTGTAACCTGCAGCAGGAGAGGGGGAGAGGAGGAGTGGGGAGAATGAATATATGAATTGTGAGTTGGTAAGGACACAGGCAGCGCAGACCTGGAGGACGCCCCGGGCTCTACCACACAGCAGAACAGATGGCCGCTGCTCACCATTGACATAGAGACTGTTCCTCTCCAGGGTGTAGGGGCCCAGCTGGGTGATGCCGTGGGTCAGCTGGCTCAGCTCCCAGTACAGCTGCTTTATGTCCAGCTTGGAGCCCACGGGGTCAGGACGGTAGTTACAGACTGCGTCCACCCTGGTGGCCAATCCATCTTTCCTGGGTCTGGAGAGGAAGGGCGAGAGGAATGACAATAAACAGCTCTTCTTGGAGGGGTTCTTTGGTTCTTGGGGACAGGGGAGGAAGGGGCACTGATATGAGAAGCCTGGCAGGGAGGGGAATTAGGAGACCCAGAGCCTCCAAGTGCAGTGATTTTGGCCGCTCCGACTGCGAGAAGCGCTGGTCTGGGGGAGAAACGTTATGTCATGAGGCAGAAACCTGCGTCCTCATGGCATGGGCCAGCTGAGCTCCCACCCAAGGCAGGTGGAATCTGGAAGTGGACTCAATCAAGCAGTCTTAACAGAAATTTCGGGCAGATTTGGAAGCCTAAGTTAAGGCCCATACTGTGGAACGTTCAGAGTGGAAAGTCTTAATTTAGAAAATGTGACTTGGTGGGGTCCCATCCAACTCCTGGGCTTTGCAGAATTCCAGGACTTATTGGGGAGAAGGTGGTAGACTCGGAACACATCTTGGTTACCCAGAGGATGCCGTAACACCCGAGGATGTCCAAAAGGGAGTGCAGGAGGAAGATGACCCCATTGCCCGGTTTGGGAACACGTGGGACATCTGTTGGCTGTGGCTCTAAGGTCTCACCTGAGCAAAATCACTTTGCAGTCAGAGTACAAGGGACCCACGCTGGTGTTTTTGAACAAGGGCCCTAGCTATGGAGGAGAGAGTAAGAGATTAGGAGATGCATGGCTCGGTGCTCATCCTTGATAGGGGTCATCCTCAGTGAAAGAGGCTTAGGGTACGGGGAGAGGGGAGCGACCAGTGGGAGGGGCAGCAGTGACTGGGCAGGGCTTGAGGGATGTGGGTAGGGCAGGCACGAGTGGAGACGGGGGCTGGATGCTCTCACCTGGAGCTGCAGAGCCTTCTCTGTGGTCTTGAAGGTCAAGGACCCTGGGGGCTGCATGTCCTCCTTGTACTGCAGGTTGGTGATGGTGAAGTTGATGGTGATGGACTCCAGGGCCAGTTCTGTCACTACAGCAGGGAAGAGGAGAGGGGAGAGCCCACACTGAGTCAGGTCTGGGGTGGACATAGCAGGCAGGCAGGTCTGTGGCCACAGGCCTGACACCAGTGACCGACACACTGGAGACCAGAGCAGTGGACGAGGGTCCTGGGGGCCTAATGCCTGAATCACCAGTGTGGCCTCTGCTTGGTCATCACATACTGCAGGTAAAGAGGGCACAATGTGGCAGTTCTTATTTGCAGCAATTCTAGTGAGTTGTCCCGTTATTTCTTTCATCTCTCCACCCAATTATCATTCAGTGACATTTCTCTATTTCCAAGGAAATATGGCCAGAAGTGTCCAATGACACGGGGTGATAATATGATTTGCAAGGACTTCCCAGCCTGTGACCCCAACTTCTTCCTTCCTGGGCCACTGGGGATGAGGTCAGGGCCTGGTGCTTCCTGCTCTGGCTGTGGCTGGGGGACTTCGGAGGGCCACTGACTACTCACCACTGGTGGTGGTCATCGCAGTCCGGTGGGTGTAACCTGCAGAGAGCCAGAGAGCGTGAGTGTGAGGAGGTGCTGGGAGGGGTGGAGGACTCAGGAGGCTTGGAAGGGGATGCTGTGGGCTCCACCATGCAGCAGAGCAAGATGGCCCTGCTCACCGTTGACGAAGAGACTGTTCCGGTCCAGGGTGTAGCTGCCCAGCTGAGTGACCCCTTTGGTGAGCAGGCTCAGCTCCCAGTACAGCTGCTCTCTGTCCAGCTCCGGAGCCCCCGATTTCTGGTGGTGGGTGCAGAGCACGTCTACGCTTGTGGCGGCGCCGCCATTCTTTGGCCTGGAAATGGTGGGGTGGGTAACCAGGAATGGGTTGGGGAGAAAGCGTGCTTGGAGCCTGGGGCTGGGACAGGAGGCAGCGTGAGGAAATGAGAAGCCTGGTACAGAGGCAAGAAGCCAGAGTTTGAGGATCTGGTGGCTCCTTGGTGTTTCTCAGCCTATGGAAGGAGGAATCTGGGAATGCAGACAAGGGAACCACCTGATGCGTTTCTCTGGTAGAACCACAAGAGTGCCATAGGCCGTGTCAGAAGGCGGTGTGGCTCTAACGCCCTGGATGCTGCTTGTTCCCACCCTGCGGAACGCCTCTCCCTTCACCTCCTGAATCCAGGCCTCGCCTCCAGTGCCCTGTAATTCATGATCCATTCCCACCAAGGCTGCTAATTCTCACTCTAGCTGCAAATCTTTTCTTGTTAGACATTTGCTGAAATCCATCCATGGATCTCTCCCCTCGGTGAGTGAATTCCCGATGTCCTGCTGTGAATCTGGGCACATCCATAGGCTGCCCCACTGCTGCCCACTCTGCCCGCTCCTGTGCTGCTAGGATTTCTGCTCTGCCTCTGGCTACGCTTCCCCCACCTACTTTCCCTGCAGCAGACATGGGACATCACCTTCCCCCTCCAGGTCAGAGCATCTCGTTTCCTCCTTGACTCGCCACCCTTCCCTCCTCTCGATAAGTCAGCAGTCTCTCTGGGCCTGTTGGTCAGCTATAAGATGGGCATCATGTAATAATACGGGGTACTAACGTAATAATACGGGGTCCTGCGTTGTGAGGACTGAAGCTGTTGGTATAGACACGGGGCGCTGTGGCTCTTCTCAAGGAAGAGGCAGAGCAGCACTGTGGGGAAAGGCACATGCTTCCCCTAGACACGAATCCTGGTCCTGTACCTGGCAGGTCCTTAGTTCTGAGTTTTCAGTGCCTTTTCTGTGCCTTGGCTTCTCATGTGTAAAATTGGGATAATTATCAGGATGTTGAAATCTGGTGCTTCTAAACCAGGGGCAACTTGTACCCTTGGGGGACATCTGGTAAGGTCTGGAGTCATTTTTGGTTGTCCCAACTGCGGGGGTGGGGAGAGGATGGGGTCCAAAGGCATCTAGCTTGTAATTTAGAGGCGAAGATGCTGCTCAATGCCCTATGATGCAGAGGACAGCCACCCACAATAAGAATGGTTCAGAATCTCCATGGTGCCAATGTGGGAAGACCCCAGGTCCTTCACCCCAGTGTCCGGCACATACTAACTGCTTATTTTGCATTGACCTTCAGGGAAAGATAGATGTTGTGGGCTACATTTCTATGCTGTAAGTGTGTCCTTTGGAAAGAAGTTTGGTTCATATTTCCAAGTTGCCCGTTTCATCAGTTTGTTTCTAGGAAATACCTAGGAGACTTGAGGCTCAGGAGGATGGGAAGGTCTGGACAATGGTCCGGGGTGGGATAGGAATTCAAGGAGAACCTCCCAGGAAAGGGCCAAGTCCTAATGAATTACACACAAGAATCTCCACCATGTCTCCCTCGTGGACATCTTCTCTGGAGATTTTACCTGAGAGAGATCAGTCTGCAACCAGAGTACTGCAGGCCGACACTGGTGCTCTGGAAGAGGGACCTGAGCTGTGGAGAGAAGTGAATAGAACACCTGAGTGGGAGGGGCCCGCGACGAATGGGTGGAGCTATGGCGAGTGGGCGTGGCTAGGAGAGTGGGCGGGGCAGGGAAGTGGGTGGGTCTCTCACCAGCTTCTGCAGAGCCTTCTCGGTTTTGTTGAACCTCACAGAGCCTGGGAGCTGCATATCCTCCACGTAAAGCAGGTTGGTGATGGTGAAGTTAAGGCTGAATGACACCAGAGCAGCGCCAGAGACTGCTGTGAGATTGGGGGAGAAGTTAAGCCCCGGGTTATACTGCGAAGTAGATTTGGGGGTTGAGGAGGACTCCAAGTTCATATCCCTGGTACCCAGTGTATTCACATCTGGGATAAGAGATCAGAATGTCTCTCCTCCAATAGGAGGAAATGTTTCTCCACTTTATTTTGAAAGACACCACCACCACCACCACCACCAACAACAACAACAACAATGACAATGAGTAGCAGCAATAATAATAATAATAATATAATGTCCGGTAGAGCTCACTCCCTGCTACCCCTTGGTCTTAAGCATTCTCCATCCAGTATCTCATGTATTCTCTCACACAATCCCTGGAGGTGAGTCCTATCACTGACTCCTAACTGCCAGAAGATGAAAATCACGTTCAAAAAAATTTAAATCACTTTCCCAACACCCCACACTATTTTAGTACATGAGAGTCTGTTCCACGAGGGATCAGGGGCGTTTGTTACGCAGTAAAAGCTAACGGATATAACCCTTCAACAGAGAGCAAAGCTTGGATTTCAGAGACTCCAGGGCCTCAGGCCAAGGCTGAAAACCTGATGTCACAGAGCTCTCCAACCTAGGGATGGAACTGAACTGCCCTGTGACCAGGGTATAGCCTGAAGCATTCATCGTTCCCGCACTGTCTCCTTGCCTTGACCTACTGCGCATATTTATCACCCCTTCTCACTGCTCAGCGTCAAGACACGTGATCAGGAGGAGAGCAGACATGGAGACAAGGCTCCTACCTGTGGTCAACGCAGTCGAGGTTCCCAAGGAGACGGGGGAAGACACAGCAGCTGGGGAGGAAGCAGGGGAAATGAGTGCCATGTTGCTTTGTCACACTGAGTCTCAGGGGAGAGCTGGGGGTGGGGCTGACCAGGTCCTGAGGCTTCCCTCCTCCAGGAGGGACTTTGTGGGATGTGACCAGCTGCCCCCTCACGGGGGGCCATTGGGGGTCTGAGCACTTACCAGGGGCCGTGGAGGTCAGGACTGGCCTGGTGAAACCTGCAGAGAGTGGACAAGAATGAGGGGGAAGGCCTGGAGGGATGGACCACTGGTCAGAATGACCCTGGTCAGGGGGTGGCTTCCCTTCCAGAGGGCGTGTGGCACTCTCTGCAGCCTTTCTCGGCTGTCATCCACCTCTCTCTGTGCATGACTTAGCCCTTGGTGAGGAAGGAGAATCTCACGAGGAAAGGAGGAGAGAGAGAAATCCAGAAGCAGGTGGGTTTGAGGTGTCCCCTCTAGCCAGAGATGAGTAGCCACTGGGCTCCCCCTGCCCCACTGAGTGCCGGAGGAGACCTCATGGCTGCAAGATGCTCACCATTGACATAAAAGTGGTCTCTGTCCAGGATGTAGGAGCCCAGCCGGGTGACACCGTGGGTCAAGCGGCTCAACTCCCAGTAGAGCTGTTCCCTGTCCAGCCCCAGGCCCCCAGGGTCAGGATGATAGGTGCAGATGACGTCCACTCCAGTGGCTGTCCCACCTTTCTCAGGCCTGGAGAGGTAAGGACATGGGGTGAGGATGGGGAACAAAGGCAGCCTAGGTTGGACATCTTTCTGTCAGCCCCCTTGGATGTGGAGGCCTGCTAATCTGCCCTCCAGGTCCAGGCATGAGCTGCCCTCAAGAGCAGGGGCATCCCTGAGCCATAAAGGAGCAGAGTGGATGTTTCATCTGTTTGACTCCCGAGTCTCCCACTTGTACTGAACAGATAATGCCCTGACCGTGGGGTTGGAGTGTCATGGGATTCAGAAGTGATGAAACATATCCATCCCTGGTGCTGGCTATAATACAGGTGCACATTAATGAATTAATTTCTTAATTAAACAAATATTTACAAAGGACCCACCACAGTCGCTGGTGAGAATGAACAGCCAGCTCTGAACAGAAATGCGTCAACTCTTGGAGAGTGGATCCAGCCCAGTTTCTGGGTCTGACCATCTGAGCATGAGACACTGTATAGCTCAACTTTCCAGTGACCACAGATTTTCCATTCCTGTCTCATTGGGGCAGCAGGAAAAGTGGGCCCTGAAGGGAGAACCTGTAAGGTTCACTGTATTGTCCTGCCAGAGAGCATGATCAAGGACAGAGTGTCCTTTGTATCTCAGATGGATGGAATTGACCTTGAGCTAAGCAGATTCTAGTGCTGGTCTATTAGAAGTTTGATAAAAGTGCAACACTAGTCATGTTGTCTGGAAATATTGCACCTGGTGAAAATGACTAGACCTTTTTCTGGGAGGACCATAAATGGTCCTCCATCCCTTGCAGGAAGGTCTGACTTGGAGCTGCCTTGGGTGTGTTGACCTGGTTAGCTAGGTAGAACAGCTTGGTTTTCCTTTGGGATGGGATATTTCTAAGTCAAGGCAAATCCATTGGCCACTGAGGCCTTGATTCCTTGCATATGAATTGTCACCTGAGATGGTGAGAAGAATGACAACCCTTGGACTCTCGAAAGGGCTCTCTCAAAAATGAGACACCAGACACTGCCCTGGTGGCCCTGTCCTTATTCTTCTAAGTGAAATGGAAGCCAAATGGCTTATTCAGGTCTTGCAGGTGTGACTGTGGATTTGAGAGGTTCTACAGAGACCAGCACACAGGACTGGGAGGAGGGCGACGGGAGCCTGGGAGGTCTCGGGTGCTCTCAGGGTTGTACAGGTGCAGAGGTGGCACCTGAAAGTGAGCACATTCCTAAATTTGGTGCCCTGAGACCTCCTTTGTTTCACCTGGTCCAGAACCTGGCCAGTGCAACCTGCCCATGCCTTACCACCTCTGCTAAGGCGACACGGAAGGGAACCTCACCTCAGTAAGGACAGTGTGCACCCGTCGTAGAGTGAACCGATGCTGCAGTTGGTGAACAAGGACTTGAGCTGACGAGGAAGGAGAGGGTCAGTGAGAAGATGAATGTCAAAGGAATGGTAATTTTAAAATACAATATTTAAAAATTATTTATTTTCATGCCAGGGCCTGGCACATGCCGAGTAGGCACTCTGTCACTGAGCTCCTCCTCAGCCACTGTTTATTATCTTTCATTTTTGATTTATATCTGCTAACTGTACACATTAAGGGGTTTTAGTGTGGTATTTCTTTTTCTTTTCTTTTTTTGTTTTTTTTTTTTTAGTTGCTGATAGAACTTGATTTTTGTTTATTTGTATGTGGTGCTGAGAACCGAACCCAGTGCCTGACACAGGCTTGGCAAGCACTCCACCACTGAACCACAGCCCCAGCCCCCGAGGGTGGTATTTCCATTGATGCACACAGCAGGCAGTGACCAAATCCAGCCTCTCTTTGTCCACCCCCTACCCAGAAGGCACATCCTTCCCACCTCGAGTAACCACTGTTCTACATTCAGGTTGACTGTTCAGCATCCACATACAGGATGAGAACATATGTGCTTGTCTTTCTGTGTCTGGCCTGTTTCTCTTTACATCATGTTTGCCAGGTAGTTGCACATGACAGGCTCTCATCCTTCCTTATGGATGAGTAATATTCCATTGTGTGTGTACGTACTTATGTATTTATGTGGGTATATGTGTGTGTATACATATAGGTGTACATAATATCACATATTTTTTACCCCTTCTGTTGATGGGCACCGAGGTTGATTTCATATCTTAGCTACTGTGAATAGTGCCCCAATAAATATGGTTTGCAGCTATCTCTTGGGTATGCTAAGTTCATTTCCTTCAGATACATGCCCAGGAGTTGTATAGCTGGATTATACAGAACTTTTTTTTTTTTTAATTTGTGGGGCAATTCCAATTTCTGAATCCTTTAAGTCTTCTAAAATTGAGCAGGGAGATTCAAAGAGGGTGGGTGGGGGGAGTTGGGAAAGAGGGGTGGTGGCTGGGGGCTCTCACCAGGTGTTGCAGAGTTGTCTCTGTGGACTGGAACCTCACAGAGCCGGGCTGCATGTCCTCCATGTAGGGCAGGTTGAGGATGGTGAAGTTGACCGTGAAGTGCTGCAGGGTAAGGCTGGCAGCTGGGGTGGAGGAACCAGAGGGGGAAGGGTCATGCCCTGGGTCAGGCCTGGACCAGATAGGGGGCAGAGGGCTGCAGGGACACAGCCCTGCCTGCTCAGCTGGCCCCACGGCCTTAGAGATGCCAGGGAGGGAAGCTTGCACCTGGACCTGTCCTGGGTGTGGATCCCTGTGGGAGGGGGAGGGAGGGCGGGGGGCGGGGGAGGCTCTGTGTTCTAGGCCACACGGTCCCCAGCTCCGGATGCACACAGAAACCAGAGAGTGCAGCATCTGGGTGTTTCATAAACAGGTCAAAGATGACGCCTGTATTTTAGTCCCCAGATTTTTTTTTTTTTTAAATATCTATTTCTCTTCAGCAGGCTTGGATCCATTCACCCAAAAGCTTGCCAGCATCTCTATCAAATTTTTACACATCCTGTGGTTTCAACAAAGCCAAAATAAGCAAACTTTAGCCATTCAGAACCTGCTTTCTGTGCATACTCGAGGAAACCACCCCTAACATCTCCCGGATATCAAAAAGGTAAATTCTATGGCTATAAACACCCTAAACTGCTGTCCCCCTTTGGAGCGCTCTGACCTAGAAACTCCACTTGCCCCTCTCCCTGAAGAGTTCCCTTGCCTTCCTGAGAAGTGACCCCTGACCCTAGTTCCAGATGGCCCTGTTACAAGGGACTTCCCTTGCATGCACACTGCGTGCTACTGCCATCTAGTGGTCACATCTTGCTTTCTTTGACCAGTCCCCCAATTCCTCCCCCTCGACTGGTTTAGAGGTCAGAACAGATGACAGTGGGGATTTAAGGGATACTTGCTTGTATTGGTTGAACTAATTTCTTTCTGACACCAGGGTATAGTAGAGGACCTTCCCTCCAAAATCTCAGAAATTCAGCAAATAATTTTTTTCCTAATTTATCAAAGTTGCTGATTTCACAAGACTTATATTTTGGCTAATTTCTTCCAATTATATTCTTCTGTAACAAGATGTTGGAAGTAATTAGACAAAGTCAGATCGTGGGATGAGATTTTGGTCTGCTGTCTTTAAAAGTCAATGTTGTGCCAGACATGGTGGTGTCTGCTGTTAATCCTGCGCGACTCAGAAGGCTGAGGCAGGAGATCGCAAGTTCAAGGCCAGCCTGGGCAATGTAGTGAGACCCTAAGCAACTTAGTGAGACCCTATCTCAAAAAAAATGTATATATGTAATGTATGTAATATATGAATATGTGTGTATGTGTGTGTGTATATATATATATATATAGAGAGAGAGAGAGCGAGCTGAGGATACAGCTCAGTGGTTATGCACCCTGGGTTCAGTCCTTGGTACTCCCCTCACCCCAAAAGTCATTGTTATGATTTAAAATGGGCTGCTGAGTAGGACTTGTGTACACGAAAAGATACATGAAACACTAACATAATCAATATGAGAAATTTGATTGGAACTTCAATTTTGAAAAAGGCTAATGATGAAAGAAAGACATTTGAAAGAATTTGAATATGGCATGTTAGATGATATGGATGCATCGTCGTCATTTTTTTTTAAAGATAGAGATTTCTTTAAATATTTATTTTTTACTTTTTCGGTGGATACAACATCTTTATTTTTATGTGGTGCTGAGGATCGAACCCAGCACTCCACGCATGCCAGGCAAGCGTGTTACCGCTTGAGCCACATCCCCAGCCTCATCGTCATTTTTGAAGCGTGATGTGGTTATCTAGGACAATGAACTGATATTTTTCTGATTCTTACTGACCTATTTAGCAGTGAAGCATTGTATTATGTGCTATTTTCAAATGGCTCAGACCAGAAAAATAATTCTGTTGACATCTACATGGTCAGTTCTACAATGCTGCTTGTTTTGAGAGCATGATTTTTTTTCCCCAGGCTCACTGATATCTTAGGACCTAATTTGAACATAATGTAAATTCCACATCTGCTTACGTGCAGTTGCAATTGCAGGACACACAAGTGAAATACTAAGTGCAGAAAATCATGACCTTGCACAAAATGGCTGGCACACATATACATATGCACATGCGCATACACGCACACACCTCTAAGACCTGCTGGCTTCCTGCATGCCCCTTTGTTAGGAGGATACTGAGATTGTAAAAGAAAGCCATTTGAAATAATTTGAATACGATGGCCACCATTTCTGCAAGGGTGCTGCCCCCTTTCTGCAGTCCTACAGACAGGAATTCTCCTCTCTGAAGATGGAACTTTGTCTTATTTCAGATAACTTTCCTTCCACCACCTATAAATAACCCACAGGTTTCGACCCCATGGATAAAGTGCTGTACTTAAGTGTGGTCTCTGCATATTTCCTAACTCTTTAATGTATGTGAGACCGTGATGTTGCATTAGATTCTGATCTACTTTGTTGCTGACCATATTTCCAAGTGTGGTATCCCAATCCCATTTTCTCCATCTGCCCTGTGTTTTTCACCATGTGATAATTTTGAGGAACTCCCAGGTCATGCTATAGCACAGCTTACTATGTACAAGAAGCAAACGGGAAGTCAGCAACTGTTGAATCTCAGGGTGGACAGTATGGATGCTTCTTGGGCTACTCTTTGAATATTTCTTGTTATTTTTGGCAATTTCATAATAAAATAGTTGTAGGAGTTGGGAACAAATACATAAAATATTCATGAATACAGAAACAATCTCACGGTTCCTAGATTTTGGAGAAATGTAACTCTCCTTAACATTCCACTTAAAGGAAAGGACCATATTCCATGCATAGAGCCAGGAAGGGGATATTTGTATATACCCACAGCAATGCATTCAGAAAGAAGTAACAAGGATAGTCTTATCTATTCAAGAGTAGTATTCATGAAAACAAGCGGTTGGGCAGTTGGCTAATGGTCTAAACTCTGGAAATGATCTTTTACTGACTTGGTCTCTGTTGCTCAGGCCACTGCACAAATCTATTCTTGGCAAATAGGTTGGCTGGTTTGTGTTCCTCCAAGGGTTGGGGAAGGATTTAGAAGTGAAGGTCAGCTATAGGTTTCAGAAACAGGTCCCAGAGAATGGCTGAGGATGCTGAGTGCTGGGGACCTGTGTTAAAGGAACTCTCAGGGTCCTGGGAAGACCCTGTCAGCCACATCAAGAGTCAACCTTGGACTCCTGAGACAGGTTACCTACTCCACCCCTCCTACTGCCTGCTGTGATTAGAGACACCACTGGAACCATCTTTGGAGAGGAGAATTCCTATCTGTAGGACTGCAGAAAGGGGTCAGCACCCCTGCAGAAATGGTGGCCTTCATAAAAGCTGGGGTGAAAAAACCTCATGTTTGAAGTAGGGACTCTGTTACCTTGGAGAGAGCAGGAGGGAAATGGCCAGGCCCCGGGCTTTTTAGGGAGGAAGACCCTGTTCACCCTAGACTGGAGGTGGCGAAGGGTGTGAAGTGGAGACTGGGTTCTGGCTTCTTTCATTCCAAAGGACAGGGACTTATAGGGATGGTGGAGACTTACAAAGCCTCAGAATACTCACTCCTGGTGGTGGTGGCCATGATCTGGTGGGTGTAACCTGTGGAGATAAAGAAAGAAAGGGTGAGGAGGGTAGGGACGAGGGAATGGGAGGGGAGGACATGGCTGGACCCTGCCACACAGCAGAGCAAGATGGCCACTGCTCACCATTGACATAGAGACTGTTCCTGTCCAGGGTGTAGGGGCCCAGCTGGGTGATGCCGTGAGTCAGCTGGCTCAGCTCCCAGTACAGCCGCTCTCTGTTCATCCCCAGGCCTGAGGGGTCTGGGTGGTAGGTGCAGACGGCATCCACTCCAGTGGCCGTTCCACCCTTCTCAGATCTGGTGAGGACAAGTGGGGGAAATGACAGTAAATGGAATGTGTAGGGCAGGGGCAGTGGCAATGACAGGGAGGTGAGAAGCCAGACTTAGAAATCTTTCTGAGGGTGCTGACTTCCAGCCAGCCTGGGACTGTGAGCAGAGTCACAGATTGGAGAACTCTTATTCCATGTAAGATTCAAACCTACATCCTCATGGCATGGGGACAGGAAAGGTCACACCTGAGACAGGCGAAGACCTGGAGTTGGGCATTCAAGCAAATGAAGAAAATGTGTTTGTTTTGAGAAAGATCCTAGTGACAGAACTGAAATCTAAAGGATAAGTGGTTCTTTTAAAAGGGTTGGAGAATTCAGAAAGATGACCTAGGGAGGGGTCCAGCCCTGCTGCTGGATTCTGCAGAATTCCGGCACAGGTGGGTGGTCCTGGGGAAGCAGTGGGATAAGGAGACATTTTGGTGCTGCAGCCAGTGCCTTCTGAATTCCACCTCTGCTGAGGACATCCAGAGGCAGGGCAGGAAAGAAATTCCTGCAGCCTGGGAGCAATTGGGAAGCCCTGGTCTGCTATCTAAGGACTCACCTGAGCAAAGTCAGCCTGCAACCGGAATACAGAGGGCCGATACTGGTGTTCTTGAACAAGGGCCTGAGCTGGGGAGGAAGGAGAGAGAGGTCAGGAGAAGGGCTGAGGGAACAGGGGCGGGGCAGACGTGAGGTGGGCGGGGCTTGCCCCTGCAGTTGGAGGGGGAGGTGGGTGGGTCTTCTTCTAAGGGCGTGGCATTGCTCAGGTGGGTGGGGCAAGAAGCAGAGGGCCCGGTTCTTACCAGCTTCTGCAGCACTCTCTCGGTGATGTTGAACTTCCAGGATCCGGGTTGACGCATCTCCTCCTCGTACATCAGATCAACGATGGTGAAGTTGATGGTGAGCGGCACCAGCATGGAGCCAGCCGCTGTAGGGGTGGCTGGAAAAAGACACCCACTGAGTATTCCAGGTCTGTGAAGCTGCGTGTGGGGCATCTCACACGTGTCTTCAAGCACTCGAGGAGGGATGGAGGAGACCCCGGACATCAGCATCAACAGAGAGCCCTGAGTGGGGGACTCGCTCCAGGGAGCTAAGTGCTTCCTCAAGCAGAGAGCACACGCGCCTGACTCTCCAGGTGACTAAAATTCTGACCGTCTCCTCTCCTGGGTTTCTGTTTAGCCCAGATTGTTTCTCCGAGATCCACATATTCATTGATTGAAAAAAATATTTGAAGAAACCATCTGACTGCATTTTTACACCCAAGACCCTGTTTTAAATGCTTTCTTTACAGTGAACTCATGGTTTTGGAGCGTGACAGTGTTACCATGCCAACTTTACAGAGGTAAAAACTGAGTCAACAGGAAGTTAAATAGTTTGCCACGAATCCCACAAGGTCTAAATGGCAGAACCTGATTTGAACCCAGGCTTCATGGGCCATGGACAGGAACAATGACAGCCCAGTCTGCCTGAGGGGTCAGTGGTCGGAACGCTCTCTGGAGACTTGAGCTGATGTCTAACTACAGACCCGGGACAGCAATGAGGCCAGCTTGTCCAGGGCCTCCGCAGGGCCAGGGGTGGTATGGAAATCCACCTTGGGCCCGTGGAGAGCAGAGTCTGCCCCAAACCCTAAGTCAGCATGACCTGCAAGAAGGTGGCTTCCAGGTGTATGCGTAGCTCACTCCGTGTCCTTCTTTCCTGGAATTGAAAACTAAGCCCACAGAGAGAAGCTCCGACATGCCTGCTAAGCTGTCGCCAGAGCCTCGGAACACACTGTGAGCCAGCCCTTGGTTGCACATGCACCTCTTTCTTTTCTGTTTTCCCTGTTGGGAGCCCATCAAAGACCAGGGCCATTGCTATTCCATTGATGCTACATTATTAGAGCCTTAATATGTCCTTGTCCCATGGATAAATGAACGGTGCCTCCCACTGGCCCAAGACCCCTGAGCTTTGCATGGGAGGAGTCACCCACAGGAAGCTCCTACCTGTGGAGATTGGGGCTGGGAGTGCAGAAGTCACCGGGGGTATGACAGAGGCCATATCAGCTGAGGAGAGAACACAGGGAGGCACAGGTGGTGAGAGAAAAGGTCTCCCCGGCCAAGGAGGGCCCGTGAGGGAACCCTAAGGCCATTTCCTCTTCTGCTTCAAGCTTGTGGTGGGCATTTCTTTTCTGGGCTGGGGAAGGACTGGGGCTTTCTGGGCCCCTTCCTTCTCTGGGGACGTGGGGTAGAGGACAGGTGAGCGAATGGATGGGCTCTGAGGCAGACCAGTGCTAGGACCCAAGGTACTCACTCGTGGGGACAGGAGTCAGGGCCCAGTGTGTGTAACCTGAAAAGAGAGAGAGAAGGAGAGAGAGAGAGAGACCGTGAAGACGGGAAGGACGGGGACCGGGGACAACAGGCAAGAATCTGGGGCCCCATGGATTTCTTTAAAAGTCATATTTAGAGAGTGCTCTCCGTGCACAGACCATAGCCAGATCCCAGAGAATACAGCTGGAGCGTGGGGAGAGTTCCTGGATTAGGTTCATGCAGTTCACGTTTCTGCCGTCTGTCCACCCCACCCCACTGCCCTGCTCTAGGAGTCGGATCTCTCCAGAACAGCTCTGCATATGCAGGTCTCTGTGTTCTGACCCCAGGGCACACAGCCTGCCGTCAGACCCAGGGGGAAGGCGCACTGCATTGGCAGCCCCGCTCACCGTTGACATAAAGGCTGTCCTTGTCCAGGGTGAAGAAGCCCAGCCGCGTGATGCCACGAGTCTCACGGCTCAGCTCCCAGTAGAGCAGCTCTCGGTCCAGCCCGGTGCCCGTGGGCTCAGAGCGATGGGTGCAGATGATGTCCACTCTGGTGGCTGACCCGTTCCTCTCAGACCTGGGTGGAGGGAGGCATGGTGACAGGGACATGTGAAAGATGGATACGGAATGTGGCTTACATGAATAATAATACCTGGAAAAGTCACAAGCCTTCCTCAGATGGAGAGGGAGAGGGAGAGAGAGAGAGAGAGAGATTTCTAAAATTTCCAATTGCTCAGTAGATAAGGTGGGTTGGGACTAGAGCTGCCACCAGCTTGTTCGCAATCCACACACAGACAGAAGATCCCTTATCTCGAGATGCTCTGTACTAGAGTGTTTCAGAGTTTTCCAGATTTTGGAATATTTGCATAGACTTTGCAGGTTGAGGATTCCCAATCCTGAAATCCGAAGTCTCATGAAATTAAAAAGTTTTTAAACGACAATACGACACTCAAGCAGTTTCAGATTTTTGAGCATTTGGGATTTTCATTTTTAGGGATGCACTATCAGACCTGGTTTCCCATTACCCCACTCCCAAGATTAAGCCAAGGGAGGAAAAAAGTGGACCAACAGGCCGGCAGCCCGAGGCCTGGCAAATCCCTCAGGCACATTACTTTGGAGCCCTTTCAATATAGGTTAAGAAATGTTCATGCCACAAAGATTGTTCATTTTTTGCATTTAAATTTTTTCTGAGTATAGAATCATTTTGGAAGTTGCTGGGCATTCACTCCTGGGGGATGTTCTACATGTTGGTTAAAACCAGGAAAAATAAAAGCCAGAATAGAAAACTGATGAACAAAGACTGGGGAGAGGGCTCAGCCGAGAGCTGCCACCCTGGGCAGGTGGGGAACAAGGTGCAGTCAGGGACTGAATCCGGGAGGCCAGTGGGTGTGAGCAGCCACCGCTGGGTATCTCACCTGAGTGAAGTCAGTCTGCAGCCAGTGTAGAGGGGGCCAATACTGGTGTTCTTGAACACAGGGCCAAGCTGCGGGGGAAGAAGAGGGAGGTGAGTAAGAGGGCAAGGGCCCTGCAAGGTGGGGGCAGGCGGCTGGCCCTCGGCTCTTACTATGCGCTGCAGGATGGCCTCGGTTGTGTTGAACTTGTCGGATCCTGGATGCCTCATGTCGGACACGTACTGCAGGTTTGTGATGATGAAGTTGAGGGTGAAGGGCATCAGGGCAGGGCTCACGGCTGCAACGAGAGAGTCTGTCTTGAGCTGGCATGAGCGCCCTGTCGGCTCCCCTCCAGCCTGCCCCGGCCTGCACACAGGGCTCTGACCCTCGCCACCAGAGCTCCACACAGCTTGGTTCCAGTGCATGCAGGGACCACCACCTACATCACATCCAATCACTCTTTCCATTGGGAATTGGTTCTTCTCTCAGGAG